TGCACTGGCTGAAGGACATGTTGTTTGCTTTTCACTATTAAAACATCCAAAATAAACTGCTAATTAGATATGCAGTGAGGAATGCAAGACAGAGCTCTATCAAAAGAAGGAGAAGATGAAATTGGAACGGTTGTGGCTGAGAACTAGAACTTGGTGCTTCTGGCTAGATCAGGTATGCCCAACCCACAGGCTGTCATATGGCCCCCACGAGATGATAAACTTTTAACACTATTTATATACATTAACTATAATATATATTTTAAATGCAGCCCAAGACAATCCCTCCTCACTCAATGCTGTCCAGGCAACCCAGAAGGTTGGAGACCCATGGGATAGATATTTCCATTTGAGCGGTTAACAATCCCTTTTAGACAGGAAGGAAAGGAATCCAAATGTTTTTATCCTAAATTTCTAGATCAAAGGTATTATTGCAGGGGTGAAATCAGCTTACCATCATTACTGGTTTGCAAATGTGAGCGCGCATGCACAGAGCATCAAAAATGGGATGTGATGGTGTCCAGGCGGGTGGGTGGAGCCTCCCGCCGCTGCCGCTACCGGTTCGCCCAAACTGGATAGAACCAGCTGAATTGCACCACTGAATTACCGATATTATTTCTTATGTGAAACTGGAGAGATCAGACATAGCTACTGGGAATCTTTTGTCTTTAGGGCCAGGGCAAAATGTCCTCTTTAAGTATGAGCCAGTGGAATCCAGCCCTATTAATCCTCTGAGTACAGGGTTCAAAGTGAATGTTAATATGAGCTTGTGGGACCTTGTGATAGAGGAGATAAAGGCTGTTATGGGCTTCTTGGATCCGGAGTGTTTCAGTGCCTTCTTATTTGGCCTGGGATGCCCCTCAGCAAACGAGATCCAGAAAAACGCCAACCTGACCTCTCTGCCACTTCTGCTTAGGTTCATCTGCAAACTCAGCAGGAAGTGAAGATGCGCATGACAGGGATGGCGCTACGTGTGATTCGCAACGATGGTTTTCTGGCTCTCTACAATGGGCTCAGTGCCTCGCTTTGCCGACAAGTGAGTGTTTGGCTGCTGCTAAGATGGTTCACCTCATCATCTGCCATCCTGCGCGTTGAGTCCTGTGCCAGCTTCTTGCTGTCATCATTGGCAATGAGAATTCTGCACTTCTGTCCAGCATTCTCTCCTAAAAATCCATGTTGAGCATTCTGATGACATTCATGCTCCCAACCAAGCACTTAAGAATTTGATGCACTCTCTGAAATTGTAGAATTGTAACAAAATGTCTGTGAAACACTAATGATGAAAATAGAATAGTGTTGACTACCCATAGCCATATTGGTAGATCAGGCAAACTCTAGTTATGGAAATTTCTGAAATAAACACGTGTGTTTCCGGAGTTTAGTAGGTAATATGTGCAGATGGGAATAAACTTGGAGCTGCAGCAATTAATTATTTCCACTTCGTAATATTTTGACAGTGACAGCTTTTTCTTTCCCACCTTGAGATCTTGGTTGTTTTTTTCACATGCTGCATAAATACCCTGCAGAGACTGATTCTGTAGCCTAAATCAGTCATTCTATATTATGCCAGTTGTAATGCTAGTGTTTGTGATTTTCATCATTAAGCAGGATCTGAGGGGCAAAGGTAGGTTCGCTTGCAGCCATACTTGCAATATATTTTTACAAGCATGACAAAATTAGGCAGGGCAACTTTTTTTAAAACAATAATAATAATAATAATAAAAAACAGCAAGCAAAACTTCGACTCCATTCTTTTCCATCTTTTGGTGGGGTATACCAAGAATGTTAGGGCACAGAAGTAGAACAGTCATGTCACACTTCCTTAATAAACTTCATTTGCTTATTTTTCTATTTACAAATAGCTAAATGTTATTGCTGCCCAATTTGGGCACTGCAGTTAGGAGGAATCAGCACAGGTAAAGGAGGAGGGGGAAGAGCTTGCATGTGGCTTGCGAACAAGGGATATTTGTGATTCTGATGAGCAGTTGTCCCAAAGGTGCTTTTTCAGGAGTCAACTGGACTTTCTTGGGTGGTTTTCTTTTTTGAAGATGTTTCGCTCCTCATTCAATGTTTTCAAAGAAAAAACAAAGTCCAGTTGCCTCCTGAAAAAGCACCTTTGGGACAACCAGGATGACTGAGAATCTCTATAGACTGATGAGCAGTTGCCCCTTCCTCTTGTGACTCTTTTCTGCTTCTTCAGATGACATACTCTCTCACCCGCTTTGCCATCTATGAGACGGTGCGAGACAGCTTGAGCCAGGGTGCCCAGGGGCCAATGCCCTTCTATCAGAAGGTGCTGCTAGGTGCAGTAGGAGGTGAGCTGGGACTTGGCAAGTACAGAAAGAAGGGTGAGGTCATATCAGGCTGGGCAGTCATTTTTCATCTGATGTCCTTTGGTTGCAGGATTTACTGGTGGATTCGTGGGGACCCCAGCTGACATGGTGAATGTCAGGTCAGTTTTTCTTTTTTTGTCTCCCCAGAACTCAGTGGATTGATCCTTGGGAGGATCCTAAATTAGAGGAGGGTAGAGAAGGTTTTTATTTTGCCAAAAGCAAGGCTACAATTTGGTGAAATCTGCACTCTTTGTATATTGTAGTATTGGGCTGTCAAACACATAGCCTGCGGACCAGATGCGTCATGCACTGGCCACACCCACACCAGTTTAGCGAAGGAGGAAAAAGTCGCAATGTTACCACCTGCATTCTTGGCGGCCCCGGGCTACCATTCCAGCAGGGGAAGCTACTACGCCAGAAACTGGCGGTGAACTGTACCCCCTGGTCAGAGATTATCCTCCTCGGAATGCCGTGGAGTCAATATATATTAGCGACAAACAGTTTTGCTAGCTTTCTGGCTGACAGAAGGCCAGACCAAGCCACAAGATGAGCTTGTTTTGAGAAAAGGTCGATAACCGTCCAGATCACTGTATTGCCCTGGCTTTCCAGTAAGTAATAGCAATAGCAATAGCAGTAGACTTATATACCGCTTCATAGGCCTTTCAGGCCTCTCTAAGCGGTTTACAGAGAGTCAGCATATTGCCC